CTTCCATCAGACTCGCCCGCAATTTTGATGGAGTCTTGTCCACCGTAACCCTCACCTGAAAGCCTCTTGACCGATCTGCACATGTGCCAAGCGACCCTGCTTCCCCCAATTCCGAGATACGGTATTTTGGTGTCTATAGTCATATAGACAATTGCACTGTTCATCACAACGGCAGCGCACGAGGGATTTGAAGCTTTTGGGCGTCATCTTTATTTTTGGAGTACTGTTCGCGAATCGCAATACTTCTGTTGGGTCTTTCTGTGTAAATGTCGCTAGTTTGTTAATGTTCTCTCTCTCCCGGGCAGTAGAACACGCCGTTTTCCAGGTGGGCGAACAATCATCTTGTGAAAGGAGCTTCTTCCAGGTGTTCTGTTCTGCAATTACCGAGATAAGGCCCTGGTTTCTTCAAACCACAATGGGTAGGTACCGTTTGCAGCACACGAGCAATGAACTCGTTCACACTTTCATCTGATTTCTGCGAGATATTGGGAAAGTGTTATCTTGCCATAAACACATTTTGACGAACACCCCAGATCGCTGGCTATGGTAGGACGGATGTCATTACGGAGAGCGTCGAATCTGTCGTAAAACTTCACTCTGTCTTGCTCCTCAAGAGATACTGCTGTATTCAAGATTGAAAGCAGTTCCAGGTAATGAATAAAGGTTTTTCCTCCATCTATTCCAAGTATCCAAAGGTTTTTCGGTAGAACAGGATCTAAAGACTGGTGGAGCATATGCTATAGACATGTTAACCTCTGTCTCCAAATGTCACCTCTCGCTTCTAGTAGTGCGTGTATCGGCCTTAGCCAAAACGATAGAAGGCAGCGTGCGTACAACTGACAGTGTACTCAACATCTGACGTGATACAAGTTACCGGGACTGAAGCTGTGTGTGTGTGTATGTGTGTGTGAAGTACCAATCAGTAAGAGAGCGTACTCAGCACTTGTTAGGCAAACAGGTGACCTCCATCACTACTCGTTAGCTGCAATATAAATAGATAAAATACTAAGCATTACAGACTGCAACAGCTAAAATAAAAACATTATCCTGCTAAGGCTCATATTTTGAATCGGGTAGGAGATCGTGCTCTGAGGAGGAAGCTAAAGCGGAGGAGAGGCACATAGGAACTCACAACACAAACTCCACTAAGGTCGACTCTTCGCGATATCAGCTTATGTATCCAGCTAAACACCCTCATTGCTCACGGGGTGTTCCAAATAAATACAAGCTAATTCGCGACGGAAGCGATGGCCCAGCGTAGCTCGCTTTTTTATGTCTATCTATCTGGTAGATCAGGATTCGCAACTTCAAATTGAACGCACGGTTGTATTGTGAACTGCTCTTCGGGACCAGAGGTGGCGAAGATTGGCAAAAGCACCTCGTTTTTGCTATATTATTCGTTACCTCCACAGGTGCTAATATAGCGGCCTAAACACTTGCATTTCTGATCGCCATTTGTCGGCGCAGGAGTGAGTCCTTGCCACTCTGGTAGAAGCATTGCTACAAGCGATTGACAACAAGTACAAGTCTGTCCAGTGTTGCCTGGCACCTTTGGGAGCTGTCACAGAATAGGGCAATATTGTTGGCTTTCTCCAAATCGCCCACAAGAAAGCAGCTCCACGCTTACTAACTCTCGTCTAATGGACGCACTATGCATGATTTTTTCGACGGAGAGGTTAAAAAGGAAAGGTGACAGCGAGCAATCTTATTTCGCACCGCTGGAGACATTGATGGGTGGTGACAGTTTGCCATAAACTTTCACTCAGCCCGAATTATACGCGGACGTCGCTCTGATTATGTTTCTATATCTATCGGGCACACCCTTCCTCCCCAGACAGTTTTAAAGGCACATCGATCCACCGAATGAAAGGCACCTTTGACGTCAATGAACACGACTACCTTGGGTTGTCGATACTTATGGCGGTGTTCCGACAATTGACGTAAAAATATGCTCAATGCAGCCTGGATTTCGACGAAACCTGTCTTTCTCTTCGGGATTCTGATTTACGAGTGCCAGTCAATCTATCCAGAACTGCAGACGTAAGCAATTTAGAGGAAATTGAGATCAGACTGATTCCTCTATAATTGCCGCATTCCGAATGTAAACCCCACCCTAGCCGTAGTATCTTATGTAATCTGTCATCCGTTATTTCAGCCATCTTTGCAGCTGAAATGGGGCGCAGCAGCATGGCCGATGCGGGCTTCAGAGTTTTTGTTTACATCGCATCCTTACACTGGGCTTGCACCAGTATCCGAAGACGGGGTATTGCGGTTCGCCAAATCATCAGGTATGGGTCCTGTCCAGTGCCTCTGGCCTTTCATAACAACCTCTGCTTTATTACCGTCGCTTCGGCCTTTCCATTCGACGGGTTGGAATGCCGGCTAGTTTGTCAGTGCGTAAACTCCCACCTCGTTGCAGAAACCTGCTAAGCAGCACTGGCAGATTGCTATTGTCGTATACCAGTAGACCGTTTTTGAAATAATCGTTGTGGTAATCAACCATGATCTTGTACTCTCTTCCTTTTTCACATGCTAGATGCACCGCCACTTTCTAACGGGATCAGTTTGGCACATCATCTAACATTTCTAATCCCTAGGTCTGGCGGGCACCATGGAAACGGGAATCTACGCAGTTTGACTCGTTACCTCGAATTTGACTCGTCAATTCTGACCAGAACATTAGTTCTTTTGCTGTGCTGATGCTGTAAGTAACTCCTAAGTAGGCACGATGAGCGCGTTCCAATATATCCCTGCGGAGCGACTTTGGAATCGAAATACGATTTCCCTTGAATGGTATACCGTCGTAGATCGTGAAGTTCTTCCTGGAGGCTTACATTTGGTGCCAATTCTTTTGGGAGCTGGTGCTTCATCTGCACTCGTTTCAGGATCACGTATCTCAAAACCATACACGTTGTGCTGCTTCTATGTGTCTCCTCATTTTCTTTAAGCGTTCTCTATCACTGCCAGATGCCGCACCGGGTTCCCTGCTTCCGGATCATTTTGATTTTGTTCGGCTCGTGGCAGATGTGTTCTTGACAGGGCTTACGCAATGAGCATCTGTGTACCCGATATCTAGATCATACTTCTGAAACCGTGGAACATCACGTACCGGTTTACTGGTGGTGGAAACGATCACTTTGTGGTCCGCGTGCACTGCAGTTTTTCACAAAAGTGTAATCATTGAACTGCCATTCAAAGGTGACGTCTCCTCGTTGAGGACCACAAGGCGTCTGAGCTGTGCCATGCAGACTACTTACTATGCCGCCAAGGTTGTTGTCACTAACAAAACCCAAAAACTGCCACTTCCTTCTGTCAAGGAGGCTCAGTCTATCGGGGCCAAATCACATTGCATTTACCAATTCATTTGTGACTGCGTCGCCAGTTACATAGGCACGACCGATAGAACAGTGAGTTCCCGAATGAAGGAGCATATACCTAAGTGGGTTCAACGTTCGACCGCTTAGGAAACTGGCCAGAGTCAAGCTGCTTGTCTGCGTAAGCCACCATCCTTTTCGATCGGCCGACACTTATTGACCACAGGTCACCGAGTCGAGGTCAATTCGGCGTTCACAATCCTATTACAGCACACCAATTCTCACCTCCTCCGTTTCACAGAGGCGATCGCAATTAACCGGATTAAGCCGCTTCTTTGTGTTCAGAAACAATTATCGGTCAGCATTAGACTGCGCTAGGGATAGGGGTGATAACCCTGTCTCACTTATCGTGTTTGTCTGTTTGCATGATGTTTAGTCGCACCCTTCACTGAATAAATATTACTGCGAATTATTGTTCAAGGCACTGATGAGACAATACGAAATGCATGCATTTGCCAGTCTTTGTCTTCTTACTGCGCTTTTCAAATTACTAAAGGGAACTAACTGTTTCAAAAGTGTATTCGTCGAAACACTCCGTCGCATAAGCCATCGTGAGCATCTCCATTTCAATTTTTACTTACCGATGCCGTGAGAGCCCGACCGCGGAAGTCCAGGGGTTTTCCAGCCTGCACGGTACCTATTGAGCTCCGGATGCTGTCGTGCTGTGCACCCAGTGGTCGTGTCGGATCTTAACAACTGAGCACTGGTACATCACTGCGGCAGTTGACAATTGCTGAAATGGTCTCATGCTACTGTTCCCAACTCCATTCTATTATGAGTCAGCCTGCGAATTGGTATCATGAAATCAGCAGGCCTTAGAAAGAAACGTCTCAAATAGTTGACCATACCGTCCAAGCGATTGACTGCCTTCACATGTTTCGGGGGCGGCATCTGTTGTATTACCTTTAGATTTCCTGCATTGACTTTGCTTCCTTCGGGCATGAGAACACAGCGCTACAAGAAACGATGGAGTTTGACAAATTCGATCTCGAGGAGCCTGCTATTTGCCAAGCATATGCGTGTTACTCGTCTAATCTCAATGTCTGGGCCCCGACTGAGTCACTAAGTGTGTTACTCGAGACTGCTTAACTCTCCTCTGTTTGACTCGTACTTTCTCTTCGGATAGGTTGTTGACTAACGTTGTTGTGTCATTAGTAATGTGTGCATCCACATTCTCGTGTTAAAAGCAAGTGTTTTTACACTTGTATCACTTCACTAGTTTTTCTCGCTTGGTCCTGATTAGTTACTATGGACTTTACAGCCTGTTTTCTGCATTCAGGTGCTCTGACACTTTTCCCTTCCTTATTTTTTATTTCACACTTTATGCACTGTTATATGCTACATATCCGTTCCTGTGTACAGCCTTTTTTCTGCTTATAAGTTTTCGGTCGTTGCTTAGGAGCTCCATGTTACTCTCTGTTAACCGCATTTTGTTTTCGTTACCCTATCCATCCACGTGTCTTTTTATATTTGGTCTTTTGTTGTCGTTTCCTTTGTGTATTTCTTCCCTATTGGAAACAGTTGTCTCCTGGTTCTTTGGCTACCTTGAATCTGTTCTGTTTCAGTTAAGCATTCTTTCGTTCATTGATTACACATTTGATGGATTGTTCTTTTCGTTCCTTAAAGGTATATACGAGTTACGTGTACGAAGTCAGCGTTCGGTTGTTCGCTTTAAATACACCGTCGCTGTCGTGGGTCCTCCGGAAGTTATCAAATCACCTCCAGCTGTTCTCCTTGTTATGGAAGGAAACGATGCTATCTTCAGTTGCGAGATGACTCAATTCCAGTCAACGGTGAGGCTACAATATTTGGCGACGGATTACTCCCCTGATTTGGCTATTTGCTTTGTATTTTTCTGTTGATCATCGCAGGAGCATTCAACCTAGCACACCATTGTCTCTAAATCGAAACCGGTTGCCCTTTCATTGTGCGATTTGGTTGTCAACGTTACTGATCAGCGTCTTTTACTGCTAGTCAGCATTGAACTGTTGTCTAGTGTCCACTATTTCGACACAAACCACGCCAACCAAATCCAATGTAGCCTGGTGTTCGAATCATGCTCGGTTCTATGGACCTCTGGGATGTCTTTCCAACTTGGAACCATTTATCTTATGTTCCCTTGCCATTAACTTTCCGAACCTCGCTGCACTATACAATTTGTTTTATGTTTCCCTTGTTATATTTGGTTACTTGGGTTTGTTTTGCGTCCATCAGTTTGCTTTATCTGTTCTGCTCCTTTCATCAGTCCCTGAAAATCAATGGCGAGGAGTTTTTCCCCAACTCCGCTCAAACTACCAACAGACTCATGGAACAGTTTCCTTATTTATCCAGTGCTGTTATCCATCCACTGGACATTAATGGGTCTCATTTGGCATATCGTGCAACAAATTTGATCTTTACTCCCGGAAGCTTCTTCGGACCCACGCATACCGTTACCATCATCGGTGCGAACAATTTCGGCTACGCAGTGGTGTCCACTTTTGTCCGCGTGCTTCGTGAGTTTGCTCAGTCCGTTGTTTATCTATCAAATCCTTGCAATACGACTGTCTCCGTAAATCGCACTGTGCCGCTTTCTACTTTTTTATTTGAATGTTTTGCTTTCGCGGTATGCATTACTACCACAGGCACACTTGGTGGTTATAATTGGCTCTCACTACATCAAACACGTCCCATATCTACTAAGAACCTGAAGGAATAAGACGCAGAGGCACTAAAATGCGAGTACCAATACTCTTAGATCCTATTCGGGCTTCATTGACCACTGCCATCTATGCACAGAAAAACGACATCAGCAGTACTTCGGCACAGCATATGGACGCTACGCTGCCACGCGACCACCGTCGGTGACACGTGCGCTGGGTATATCACCTGCAAGCCCGAGCTTGCGTGTATTTGAACCGGTGATCACCGGATTAGAAGGCAAGCGTGTAATCCTTTCGGCCACCGGCCTACATCTATGCAAAGTGGATGATACACCTGGTCCGTGACCAGTTGATGTCAAGTGCAATGTACTCCATGTGATCACACGGATGCCCACCCGCGCTAAATCAGTTGGACCTGAGTATTCCCACACCAAGCTTTTTTCGAAACACGCATGCACGAGGTGACGAAGCCGTTTGGCACTCTATGGTTGAATCGCTTAGGCTTGATGTCTCCTGGCATATAGCGTGCTCCAACGAACAGTATTTGACATCCTAGTGGGTCCAGTACTCGAGGAGGTTATATCGAAAGACTTATCACCTCATTGACTCCTGAATCCTGCATAGCTTAACACGATGAATCCTCGGAATGCAACAATCGTTTAGGCATGATCTGGCTGCTGTGACTAGTCACTATCTCCATTCCACGTGACCCACCTTCGCGTCATGGATGAGGAAGTGTACCCTGAAAACAGCTTCTGCTAACTGCTAATGCTTACCTAACTCGGGTCTTTTGTCACATCCCGTGGACTATCGTTTTATGAGCATCTTGGGCGCCCACCACTCCAATTCAGTTGCGGCTGGTATCACCACGTATCACATTCTCCTGTGACCGATGACTAATTTCCACCTCATTGTGGTCACCACCCACCCCGTGTGCCATGCGTTTTTGTTATCCCTGAGACCTTAGTTGGTGTTTGGCACTTGATTGGCAGCATGGCAGATCATCATCATGAATACACGTTAGCTGTGGGTGAGAATCACCCCTCAGCTAATGTACCGCAATACAGAAAAGTAAGATACTAAAAATTTACACTACAAAAGAGATTCCAAAGCAAATACTAGGATTTTAAATATTATATTACGCATGGCAGATCTGACTGTTGATCGCCATTTCTCTTTATCGTCCGGCATCAATATTTGTTCACCAGGCTAACGCCTCTGTTCATTTTCACTCACCTTTTCGGTTTTTCAGTTGTACTCCGATCAACCACTTCTAACTGACGTGACTGCCAGCGATCACCCCACCACAATAATAAGTAACTGCAATTAAGCGAATGAACTGAGGAAAAGACAAGTATTTGGGGATATCACTGTGGTAGAAATAAATCGGAAAGTTTAGCAATTAGAAGTGATGTGCCTAATTTCAAATCGCTTTGCTGCACTGCTTGATCGAGTAACACTTGTACCGGACCACTCAGTAATTATCGGTCTAACTAAAATCGCCTCGAGTCTTTTGGTCGTAGAAGACACGGGTTTACGACTTTTTTGTTTAGTTCTATTGATGATTTCTACAGGTTCTATTCACTGCTTTTCGTTACTGCGCGTGAATGCTGTGTGAAGTCACACCGAAAATAGTCGGTGTCTAGACATTTTCCTAAATTGATCGGTATGTGTAGCTGATAGCATTACTGTTATTCTGCTTTAAGTACAGTATGTGATACGGTAACTGTCAGACAACGCGATGCGAAAACTTGTGCTGGGAAGTTTTGCTTCAAGTAATAGAGTTGTGATTTGCACATGTTTCCAACAATCCATCTACTCATCGACTCCGAAATCAACTAGGTTTCTTTCTGTCCGATCAGTCGCATTGAGACTTGATCTCACGTGGCACGACAGTTTGCGTATCTCTGATCCGTCTGAATGCACTGGGTGACCCTTGAGTGCCTTGAGGGCTGTCTGTACCTGCCGGACCAATGAGCAGAAATGAAGTAAACGTGATCAAATCCTCCACTTTGGGGGTTGAACTCGGGATAGCAATTATTTATACAGAATTGGACCATTACTGGTGTCCTGTGTTTAACTACCTCAGCAAAATGGATTTGACCATGACTTCTACTCTGGTGGTATTCAAACGTGGGAGCTTCGGGTACTTCCCTCATTGACTGTCACATAGTTTCACAGGGGCCACCACGTATGTTACGTACACCAAGTCGCATGGACGAAAGTGTACTGTTACTGATGCTGCTACTCACTTTTCTATCTAGTTCTCTTACATTCTCACCGGACCCTTCCTGAGAATCGTGGATTCCCTATGCGGCAGTGCTAGTTAGACCTTAATTTTGCGCCTTCACATGTGCTTAGTCACCGTCACATGCACTGCAAGTTGTCTGTAACTGTCCTTCGATTCCGAGAGGTTGTTTGAAACACTTAATTGCTATCTTTTGCACCACGTTTTCCTGGAAGCATATTTCATCACCAGTACACGTTAGCTGAGGATGAGAAACACTCCTCAGCTAATGTGCCGCAATACAAAAAGATAAGAGACTTAAACATTACACTACAAAAATTATGATGTTATATATTATATTATGCGTTTTGCATGAGATCGGGATTGGGGAGGGACTGTGCCGCAATACATAAAAGAAAAAAGAAAGTAAATGCAACAGTTGGATGCCAGCTGAGCTACCAGCAACGGATGGGCATGGATCCGGGAAGCTATCAGCCGGCTACTAGGCAACAAAGAAATTATGTCAATTTATATTATGCCACGAACTGACATCGTGGTTGGATGCGGAAGCTAAAAGGGATGGAGAGGGACAAAGAAACTCACAGCAGGAACTCCACTGAGGTCGGCTCCTAGCCATGTCAGCAAGTGTATCCAGCCAAACGTATTCATTGTCTTTCGGAGCCCAACCATGGAGCCGTGAAGCTCCAACTGAGGCCAGCTTCGATGTGAGGGCCCTCATTCCAATCGATCAAATCATCGCTAGGCCATCTCTCCTCTTCCATCCACACCCCTGGCCAGCAAACAACGCACGCTGCGCGAGCCGGTGGGCTGGCATGTGTAACACATGGCCCAGACATCGGAGCCTGGTGCGTGAAATGACGGCGTTGAGCGGTTCATTTCCTTTTCTTGCGTCGTAAACAAGGCGTCGAACACGCCCGTCGCTCACGCGGTTTTCCCACCATATGTGAGCCAAACTGCGAAGACACCGATGGTCGAACGTTCCGCTGCATTGTACACTCTACCCTTCAAGGCAAGAGTGATGTCGCGCCGGCGCCGTAAGTGGCGAAGGTTAGCAAAAGCGCCTCAAGCTTTCGCTGTACAATTCGTGATCTCGTCTTCGATCCCAAGAACGCTGATACAACTTCCCAGGTAGTTGCATTTTTAACCACTTCTAGCTGATCCCCACCAAGGGTCAGAGTAGGAGACGGTCCAGGCCAATCTTGGAGAAAAGCTTTACACTTCGGGGGTGCGAAGCAAAGCCCGAAGCGGCTGACAGGCAGTGCTAATCTGTCCAGTACAGATTGGCACGTTTGTGAGCTGTCACAGAGCAATATCGTCAGCATACTCCACGTAAGGAAGTCGTTCTCCTGTGAGTAGCTCCACACCTTCTGAGTCGTGTCCTGGGAACGCGATTTCCATGACTTCGTCAATAGCGAAGTTGAAGAGGAAAGGTGACAGCGGGCATCCTTGTCTCACGCCGCTTTAGATATTAAAGGGCGACGACAGCTTGCCGTAAGCCCACACTCTGCCTGAGCTACGCGCGTATAATTCTCGGATAATATTTACATATTTCTCGGGCACACCTTTCCTAAGTAGTCAGTCCCAAAGAGCACATCGATCAATCGAATCGAAGGCACCTTTCATGTCGCGAAACACGACAACGGTGGGCCGCCCATATGTGTGACGGTGCACAACAAATTGACACAAAGTGAAGATGTGGTCGATGCAGCCGCGACTCCGACGAGACCCGGCTTGCTCTTCACGAATATGACTTTCACGACTGCCAGTCAATCTGTGAAGGATGACAGAGGCAAGCAATTGGGAGGTGATGGAGATCAGACTGATTCCTCTATGGTTGCCGCATTCCGAACGCGAGCTTGCTTTGAAGATGGGAACAACAACGGAACTGCTCCACCCGGTTGGGATACTTTCCTGCTCCCACCGTTTCACTAGTAATTTGTGACATCATCAACAAGAGCATGACCCCTCGAATTTGAAGTGGGCTACCTGAAGATCATCTGGTTCCGCGGGTTTATTCAACTTCAGCAGTGCCATCTCACGTTCCGCTTCTGAGCAGATCCAAAGGGACAGCCCACGGAGCAGGGCGGTCACTGGCCGGCGAAGAATCGAGCAATTCTACCCGATTAAATTACTTTTCAAAATACTCAGCCCAAGGCTCCAAGTGTTTTGATAACTTGTGGATAGAATGTCCATTCTAGTCATAAATTGCTCCACTAAAATCAGGTTTCCTGCTGCCCTTTTCTCGTATCAAGCGGAATGACTTTCGATGGTTACCAAGGGCAGCGGCCACTTCCATTTCTGACACACGAAGAGACCACCAGGAGTCGCGGTCTCTCTTCAGGCTAGCACGGAGTTTTGCCCGTAGCTCCTTGCGAGTTTCATTATGTTCGCTTCCAGCCGGAATATGTCGGCGAGCATCGATAAGTTCCAGAGACCGCGAAGAGACCTAATGTCCATGTTGGCTATTAGACTTACCACATGAGCATTTGCCTGCTGCTGATAAGGTCTGGTGGTTACGAGAGCAGTGAGCTTTAATTGTATCCAATGAACGCTTACTCAACCCGCATGTCATCGTATTTCGATACGCATTCAGAACAGTTGGTTT